TATATATATATCCAGGCAGGAAAATGAGGCTCATATGAAGTATTTCTGTAGAGGGAATTAATGTAGGAAATGATTTAAACAGCTTCAGAAAGAATGACTTGAAAGATGACACAGAGATTTGAAAGCTGCTACCTCCCCCAGCACTGAAAACCTCAAAGGGGAGATCATGTACTCAGAGTCTAGGAGCTGGTCCCCAGCAAAAACTGAAATTAGAAAAGAGAGGACACTGCTGGGATCAAGTCTGAGGCAGAGAGGGGAGAAATACCTAGCTTCTCCTGACCTTCTACCCATGAATCTCCCATCAGTGCTTCTCATTGGCTAAACCCCTAGAAGCCAGTTAGCAAGTGAGCCTAGGATATGTGGTTCGCAGGAGTCGGTTCTCTGGGATACAGAGCAAAAAAGAAGATGGGAAAGGGCTGGGAAATATTCATAGGGATGTTTCTCTGGATAGACAAAGCTGAAAGGCAACATATTTTGATAGACTAAAACATTTACCAGAAGACTTAATGGAATCTGCTTCTCATGTCTTTAATAACTAACACCAAAAGCTCAAACCCACGCCCTTCGAGTCAATTCCAACTCACAGCAACCCTGTAGGACTGTAGGACAAAGTGGAGTTACTCCATGAGTTTTCCAAGGTTGTAAATCTTCATGAAAGGAGACTGCCTCTTCTTTTACTTGTGAAGCAGCTGGTGGGTTCGAACCACTGACTTCTCGGTTAGCAGCTGAGCTCTTTAACCATTGTGCCATCAGGGCTCCTTTTTTAATTTCTAGTTCAGTGAAAGTCTGTCTTTCCATAAAATCAGATCCATAGAGTATGTGTATGATTGAGAGAGCTATTTTCAACACTATGATTTTAATATATCAAAAATGTCAGTTGTGTTTGAATGTACTTTGCTGCAATGGTTTCTAAGTGACCTAATCACATAATGAATCAACAGAGTCCAGTTATACTGTTATACTGAAAATACCTACAGCACATATTGATTTAGCATTTAAGATTTTGCCTCTTAAGAACCTTCAATATTAATATTATGAGTGTAACAGTTATGTTTTTTTAACCTGTTATATGCTTTCTATAGAGGAAAATAAGGAGCTCTAGTGGCACAGTGCATAAAGTATTTGACTATTAACCAGAAGGTTGATGGTTCAAGCCCACCAGCCACTCAGCAGAAGGAAGATGGGGAGATCTACTTCTGTAAAGATTTATCCCCTCAGAAATCCAATGAGGGTTGCTATCAGTCGGAATCACTTTGATGGCAGTGAGTGAGTGAGTGAATGAGTGAGTGAGTGAGTGAGTGAGGGGAAATGTTAAGAGTTTATAAAACTTCATATTCAAAAATAATTTTCTTTGTACAAGTTATAATTATCTGTGAAACATTTTATCCGTCCAATCAGTGTTAATAAGCACTTCTCTTACTTATATTTAGATTACTAACAGAAACCAAAACTAAACTCAGTGCCATCAAGTCAATTTGACTCATAGCGACTCTTCCTTGGGTTTCTGAGGCAGTATCTCTGTGGAAGTTGGTTGCCCAGTGTTCCTTCCAAGGAGTGGCTGTTGGGTTTGAACCATCCAGCCTTTTGATTAACAGTCAAATGCCTTAGGCACTACACCACCAGAGCTCCTTACCAACATATAGCACCAGGTTGATTCTTTAAAGGTCTTTTTAAGTGGTTTATCTTTTATACAAAATCCAGACATAAATATTAAGCACTCTACTGCTTCCAACCACCAGCTGCTCTGTGAGAGAAAGGTGTGGTAATGTGCTTCTGTGAAGATTACAGCCTTGGAAACCTCATGAGCAGATCTATTCTGTTCTACAGATCATTGAGTCAGAAGTCAATGGGCTTCTTTTTCCTCGGGTAATCCTTCAAAATTGGAGCATTTTTCTTTTCTGAAAAATTGTCTTATTTTTAATCCCAGTCTTGTTCCACATTTAAGAGATAGCCCAGTTAATTTTAATAGTCATTTTTGAGAAAGAAAAAAATTCTCATGATCATCATCAACTTGGCTTCTTGTCATCAACCCTGGGTTTGAATTAAGCATTTTAGAGAGCTCATTTTTTCATTGCAGACGTTTGGAACAGAACTCAATCAAGGTCATCCCTCCTGGAGCTTTCTCACCATATAAAAAGCTCAGAAGAATGTGAGTGCATGATATTCTGAAATATATGTAATTTTAAAAACTACGCATCATGAATATACAAAGAAAACCCATCTCAGGATGACTATTTAAATGTTTGATACCTTAAGTATTACGTGATGTGGCTCTCTGTTTGCAAGTTCTATAATAATGTTTAATATTAATGGCTAAAATATGTTTTTAAAGTTCTTTGTGTCTGTCATTTAACATATTGAATTATATTATTGTGAATGTATACAGTTGATATATTATGTGCTCAAATGCTTGGATGTTTTATTTAAAAAAATCAGACATGGCATCTTGAAAAATATTCTAGAGAAATAGTTAATAATTGATTTACAAAATGAGTTTTTAAATATAAGTCTTTTAATGTTGCAAATATATGCATGTATCGATAGGTACCAAATGAGCATGTGAAAGCAGTGATTGGTTTTCTCCTGCAGTAAATCTCACTGATGTTGCATCTAATTTAACCTACCCCTATTTCTCATCTTAGTGATCTGAGCAATAATCAGATCTCGGAGCTGGCACCAGATGCTTTCCAAGGACTCCGGTCTCTGAATTCCCTGTAAGTATTGCCACAGCACTGAAGGAGCTCAGCGTGTCACCACACACGCATAGCTGGACTTGTAAATTTGGGTTTAAGAAAAATACTCTCTAAAGTTTTAATAGGAGCTCTGGTAGCATAGTGCCTGAAGCAGTTGACTGCTAACCAGAAGGCTGGTGGTTCAAACCCACCAGCCGCTCCTCGGAAGGAAGATGAGGCAATCTACCTCCATAGTGATACTGCCTCGGAAACCCAAGGAGGGGTCGCTGTGAATCGGGTCTGACTCGACAGCACAACAACAACAACAACAAACAACAAAGTTTTAATATGAAATATGCATAATATTAAATATTAATGAATTCCATTCTTTTTATGGAGGAGTGCTACCTGTCACTAAAATCAAACCTTTAAGAATATAAATTTTATGATTTGATAATTTTGCTGTTTGGATAACAAGAAAGAATCCATTTTCTGGAAGTTTGTGCGGTTTTTTGTTTTGTTTTGTTTCCTGAAACAAGAGGAAAATGTTGATTTTGGAGTGCTCTGGTAGATGTATTTATAAGATTTGAGTTTATAGCTACTGTCTGTAGGGACAACATCAGTCCTCTTCAGAATGAGGGTTGGTGAAGTCTGGCTGGGAAGAATAGAGGGAGATGACGAGTGAAAAGGACCCTCCATTTCTAATCACCTTAACATTTTTCTCACAAAACTAGCTTTAATTTCTGAAAGAACAAAGATGAGAAAATAGTACAGCTTTTTTTGTGCCAAAAGGACTTTCAGGAGATAACTATGTATATTATAAAAATATAGAACCAAACTCACTGCCATTGAGTAGTATGTAATTAATAGCAACCTCCATTGGGTTTCTGAGGCAGTAAATCTTTACAGAAGTAGATTGCCCCATCTTTCTTCTGCAGAGTGACTGGTGTGTTTGAACTGACAACCTTCCGGTTAGCAGTCAAATGCCTTAGGCACTGGGCCACCAGAGCTTCTTATGTATGTTAAAGAATTTTATAGAGTTTCTAAAATAAATTTATAGAGGCTTTATTCCTTCCAACTTGTATCACATCTTCAGATAAAGTAACCAAAATTTAATTTTCAAATTTAAAGATAGATGTAGGCATTTTTTTTTAAGAGCTGAGGCTTTGAGAAGTATTTTTATTGATGTAAATTTGCGTATAGATTTTTTAAATTCAGAAGCATTTTTTAAATTCAGAAGTCAGTGATTGCAGGTGAGAATTCCTAGATACATATGTGCACGACTCAGGTGAACCCATGAAGTTTATAGAACAATTTACTCTCATCCTTACCAGTGGGAAAACGAGACAGACATACTCATCTGGGGTGCAGTAAATAATAAAGATTTCAAAATGTATCACTTATCACAGTAAATTGTGTTAGTATTTATTAATGAATATTTTTAGCTATGTTATAATCAATTATAAATTTTTATCTAAATATAATAAAATAGGATATAAAAAAAAACAAATAAGTATAAATGAACATGCTTCCTTGGTTGGAATGTAAATCTTTTTGACCAGGACACTCATGCCCACAGTCCTTTTTTTTTTAATTATTATTTTATTTTTAATTTTTTATGTAACTTGTGAGAAAATTGATGGCAAATTGTCCATTCAACAACTCATACACAGTTTTTTGTGACGTTGATTGCAGTCTCCACAATGAAACAGTTCATTCCACTTCCTCCCTGCATTTCCTATTCCCATTCATCCCTATTTCCTATCCCTTTCTGACTTCTCAGCTTTGATCTTGGGCAAATGTTGCCCTTTTGATGTCCCTATGGTTTGTTGTTCTTAGGAGTGCATATCTCCCTGGTGTTACTGTTCACCTTATAGGCTGGTCTATTATTTGGCTAAAAGTTGAGCTGTGAGGATGAGTTCATTTCTGGGCTTTCAGAGTGACTAATGGCCATAGTCAAGGATTCCACCAGTCTCTATCAGACCAGTCAGCCTGTTTCCTTTCTTTTTCTTTATTATTATTTTGAGTTTCATTCCACATTTTTCTCCTACTCCATCCTGGCCCTTCTATTTTGACCCCTTTCAGAGCTGTCGGTAGTGGTAGCCAGGCACTATCTAGTTCTTCTGGTCTCAGTGTCGTGGATGAAGCCTGAGATTTATGTGGCAGTTAGTTCTTTGAACTAATTGTTTCCTTACATCTTTGATTTTCTTCACTCTTCTTTGCTTCGGACATGAAGACACCAGTAGTTGCACCGTAGATGGCTGCTCACTAGATTTTTAAGACCCCAGTCACCCCTTTCCACAGTAGGATATAGAACATTGTCTTTGTGAACTATGTTATGCCTTTTGACTTAGCTGTCCCCCAAGACTAGGGTCCTAAATCCCCAAGCCCATTCTCTAGAGATATAACTTTGCCCCCATTTCTTCTAATATATATGTGGATATATTTACAGCACATACAAATATGTATGTAGAAATAGAAAGCTATATGGTTTAGTGGGTGTATTCCCATTTGCCTAGCCATGCCTATCAAACTTGTCTGTCTGCCTATATGTCCATTGTAGATTATTGTTTCTTATTACAGATATCGGAAGATTTTGTACACAATTGTGTATACTTTTGTTGTCTATAACTCTTGTGCACCTCTCCATGTCTTCCTTTGTCTTACTGAAATGGAGCTGATCACTCCCTTACTGTATATTATCTGTCCCTTCACCCAAATAATAATGTGTCTGTCACTCCTTGGAAGGAAGATCAGGCAATCTACTTCCATAAAGATACTGCCTCTGAAACCCAAGGAGAGGTTTCTATGAGTCACAGTCAACTCGATGGCAGTGACTTTGGTATTCTTTGGTTGGTTATCAAGTTATCTATCCAAAATGGGTGTCAGAAGAGACTCTGAAATTTGCTCTTGAATGAAGAGTAGCTAAAGCATGTGGGAAAATTACAAGATAAAAGAGCTGAACAGAAGAATTCAAAGAGCATCTCAAGAAGACAAAGTCAGTTATAATGAAATGTGCAAAGACCAGGAGCTCGAAAACCAAAAGGGAAGAACAAACTCTCCATTTCTCAAGATGAAAGAACTGAAGAAAAAATTCAAACCCCAAGTTTCAATATTGAAAGGTTCTGTGGGAAAAATAATGAATGATGCAGGAAACATCAAAAGAAGATAGAACGGATACACAGAGTCACTGTACCAAAAAGAACTGGTCGATGTTTATCCATTTCAAGAGGTGTCATATGATCAAGAACCAATGGTACTGAAGGAAGAAGTCGAAGCTGCACTGAAGAAATTGGAGAACAACAAGGCTCTAGGAATTATCGGAATACACACTGAGATGCTTCAAGAAACACATGCTGCAATGGAGGTACTTACTTTTCTATGCCAAGAAATTTGAAAGATAGCAACCTGGCCACCTGACTGGAAGAGATCCATATTTGCGCCCATTCCAAAGAAAGGTGATCCCACAGAATGTGGAAATACTGAACAATGTAATTAATATCACATGCAAGTAAAATCTTGCTGAAGATTATTCAAAAACAGTTGTAGCGGTATGTTGACAGGGAATTCCAGAAATACAAGCTGGAATCCAAAGAGGATGTGCAATGAAGGATATCATTGCTGATGTCAGATGGATCTTGGCTCAAAGCAAAGAATACCAAAAATATCTTTATTTGTATATTATTGACCATGCAAAAGTTTTTGATTGTGTGGATCATAACAAATTATGGATAATACTGTGAAGAATGGAAATTCCAGAACACTTAATTCTGCTAATGGGGAACATGTATATAGACCAGGAGGCTGCCATTCTAACAGAACAAGGGGACACTGCATGGTTTAAAATCAAGAAGGGAATGCATCAGGGTTGTGTCCTTTCACCATACTTACTCAATCTGTATGCTAAGCAAATAATCTGAGAAGCTGGCCTATATGAACAAGAGTGTGGCATCAGGATTGGAGGAAAAATCATTAACAACCTGCAGTATGCGGAAGACACCACTTTGCTTGCTGAAGGTGAAGATGACTTGAAGGAACTTACTGATTAAGATTAAAGACTACAGTCTGCAGTATAGATTACACCTCCACATAAGGAAAATGAAAATCCTCAAACTGGACCAATAAGCAGCTCATGATAGTGGAAACAATATTGAAGTTGTCAAAGATTTCATAGTGCTTGGTTCCACAATCAACACGAATGGAAGCAGCAGTCAGGAAATCAGATGATGTATTGCACTGGACAGATCTGCTACAAAAGACCTCTTTAAAGTGCTGAAGAGTGAAGATGACTCTCTGAAGACTAAGGTGCACCTAACCCAATCCATGGTGTTTTCAGTCTCCTCATGTGCATGTGAAAGGTGAGCAGTGAATAAGGAAGTCTGAGAAAGAGTTGATGACTTTGGGTTGTGATGTTGGTGAAGAATACTCAAGTACCACGGACTGCCAGAAGAATGAACAAATCTGTCCTGAAATAAGTACAGTCAGAATGCTACTTAGATGTGAGAATGGCCAGACTTCATCTCACCTACTTTGATCATGTTGTCAGGAGAGACCATTCCCTGGAGAAGGATATCATGCTTGGTAAGGTGGAGGGTCAGCAAAAAAGGGGAGGGCCCTCAACGAGATGAATTGACACAGTAGCTTTAATGATGTGCTCAGACATAGCAAGGATTATGTGGTGGTCCAGGACCATGCAGTGTTTCATTCTGTTGTTCATAGGGTCGCTAATGAGTCAGAGCCAACTTGATGGCACCTGTTAACAATAACTATCTAGTTTAAGGAGCTCTGGTGGTGCAGTATTTAAGCATGTGACTACTAACCAGAACGATGGCATTTCAAACCCACCAGCTGCTCTGAGGAAGGAAGATGGGGCAGTCGACATCCCTAAAGATTTACTACCTTGGAAACCTATTGTGGGGGTCGCTATGAGTCCAAATTGACTCACTGGCAGTGAGTTTGGTTTTTCTTAGTTTTTATTATCTAGTTAGTGATTTTCCTTCCTCTCCCCTCCCATCATTGGTAACCATCAAGAAATGTTTCTT